TTCACCCAGCTCAATGTAACATTGATAGGTTTAGGCTACTACATGATACTCAAGTTTTCCCTGTACCCATCATGAGGTTGCTACAACCTAGCCCATGAAGGAAAGTTTACAACGTAGGTGCACTGGTCAAGAAAAATTTGAGTAATCAAGGTGACAGACAGTGACACATTCAATACCACCTTGCACACTCTTGCCCGCATCTAGCTGATCTAGGGTGTAATCATTAGTCCAACAGTTGCAAACTTGAGTTTTATTGGACAAATTCAGGTATGTTTATCCCCATTTCCTTCCGTTTAAGAAATGTTTTTCAACAGATTCAGCGCAATGAATACACCCCTGATCACAAGCAAACACAGTTCACTTTCATAGCAGCCACATACAAGCAGCACGTATATATAATTCCTTCTTACATCTATCTACGTGCTCGCCTCCTCTCAACTTTTCCCTTTGCTTGTGGACTTCAGTTCACAACACATCAGCTGTCTGTGACCAGGCGAAAAAAAACATTTCAAGCTAAACCTTCATATCATGACCGCTATTTGACCTAGATAGTTTGTGTGTATGTATTGATATGTAGGCTATGTGTGCCTTTAAAAAATGGTTTTATGTAGTTCTGTCCTTGAGCTGTTCTTGTCTATTAATGTTCTGTGTTATGTTATGTACCTCCTGAGTGGCGCAGTGGTCTAAGGCACTGCATCGCAGTGCTAGCTGTGCCACTAGAGATCCTGGGTCGAATCCAGGCTCTGTCGTAGCCGGCCGTGACCGGGAGACCCATGGGGCGGTGCACAATTGGCCCAGCGTCGTCCAGGGTAGGGGAGGGAATGGCCGGCAGGGATGTAGCTCAGTTGGTAGAGCATGGCGTTTGCAACGCCAGTGTTGTGGGTTCGATTCCCACAGGGGGCCAGTATGAAAAATAAAAAAAATATGTATGCACTCACTAACTGTAAGTTGCTCTGGATAAGAGCGTCTGCTAAATGACTAAAATGTAAATGTTTTGTGTGGACCCCAGGAAGAGTAGCTGCTGCTTTTGCAACAGCTAATGGGGATCCTAATAAAACACCAAATACCAAACCGCTACACACAGCATACATCGTTGTACATCATAGTCAGCTAGAACTAATCGAACGAAAGTGTTAGTAAACCCGCTACAACCATGCAGTACAGTGTACAGTCAGCAAGCAGTTTAGTAGTTACACTGGCGGGCCCCGGTGGCAATAAATGAATAAAACCAAAAGCTTACCTTGACTTGAAAGAGTTCCAGTGTTGGATAGCCATAGCCAGCTAGCTAACATAGCATCCCTCTCTGTTTGAGCCGGGTGTTTGAGTAGGCTAAACTAGCTAGCTGCATTCGATGCTAGCTAAGTAAGTGAAAGTGAAAGTGAAAAAAATATACTACGAAATATAGCGATCTATTTCTCTCTCTCTTGCTTCTCCTTAATTTTGGAAGAAATTAAGTTTGTTCAAAACTGTTCAACTATTTTCTTTCTCTCTCTTTGAGTCAACTACTCACCACATTTTATGCACTGCAGTGCTAGCTAGCTGTAGCTTATGCTTTCAGTACTAGATTAATTCTCTGATCCTTTGATTGGGTGGGCAACATGTCAGTTCATGCTGCAAGAGCTCTGATAGGTTGAAGTTGTCATAATTACTGTGTAAGTTTATGGAAAGGAGTGAGAACCACGAGCCTCCTAGGTTTTGTATTGAAGTCAGTGTACCCAGAGGAGGACAGAAGCTAGTTGTCCTCCAGCTACACCATGGTACCACCCTACAGAGTGCTGCTGAGGCTACTGTAGACCTTCATTGTAAAACAGTGTGTTTTAATCAATTATTTGGTGATGTGATTATATTTAGTATAGTTTTATCTAAAAAGGATAACTGTTTTAATGTTTCACTATTTGGGGCGGCAGGTAGCTTAGTGGTTAAGAGCATTGTGCCAGAAACCGAAAGGTTGCTGGTTCTAATCCCCGAGTCGGCTAGGTGAAAAATCTGTCGATGTGCCCTTGAGCAAGGCACTTAACCCTAATTTCTCCTGGATAAGAGCGTCTGCAAAAAATTTAAATGTTTCTGAAATTCACTGAGGAGGATGTTCCTCCACTGATTAAATATTATTTTCCACAGAACTAATTCAAAGATGCCTCTGCTCTCACACACTGTCTTCTGAATTTGAGACCTAACACTTTGTTGATGGGGGCGGGGGTGCGCTACCACGATTATCCATGTAGTCATTGTGTGCTAGGAATATGGGACCAAATAATAAACTTTTGCCAAAATGTAATACACTATAATACATTTGTCCAAATACTTATGAAACCTTCAAATGGGGGGACGAAATACATAAAGTGCATTGATTTCTAAACGGTAAAACAGATATGTATGAAAATACCCCAAAATAAAATGTGACATTCTGTACTGTCGCCTCATATAAAACATTTGATCTCAAATCCCAAAATTCTGGAGTATAAAGCCAAATGTAACGTTTTAACGTCACTGTCCAAATACATACGTAGGGTAGTGTACGTTACAGTGCAGCAGTAGTCTGGATGCCTGGATTTGAACCAGACCAAAGATGTTATGAAAGAATAAGTAGTTTAACTCTGAACCAGACAGAACATGGTCAGTACTTTAACTCTGAACCAGACAGAACAGGGTCAGTACTTTAACTCTGAACCAGACAGAACATGGTCAGTAGTTTAACTCTGAACCAGACAGAACAGGGTCAGTAGTTTAACTCTGAACCAGACAGAACATGGTCAGTAGTTTAACTCTGAACCAGACAGAACATGGTCAGTAGTTTAACTCTGAACCAGACAGGGTCAGTAAGTTACTCTGAACCAACAAACAGTCAGTAGTTTAACTCTGAACCAGACAGAACAGGGTCAGTAGTTTAACTCTGAACCAGACAGAACAGGGTCAGTAGTTTAACTCTGAACCAGACAGAACAGGGTCAGTAGTTTAACTCTGAACCAGACAGAACAGGGTCAGAAGTTTAACTCTGAACCAGACAGAACAGGGTCAGTAGTTTAACTCTGAACCAGGACCAGAACAGGGTCAGTAGTTTTTAACTCTGAACCAGACAGAACAAAGTCAGCATAACACGCTTTGGATGTCTGCTCCCCACCTGTCCCCCCCCCACCCGTCCCCCCCCCCCCGTCTCACTCTCCCCCCTACCAAAAACAGCTGGATACTAAGCAATTCTTCAGTCAGCTGTTTGAACTGTGGCTATAATCTCTCTGGCCAAGGTCTTTTAGTAGCCAGTCAAAACGGACGGACAAAATGGTTTCAAATCTAGTCAGTCTGAGCAGAGATGGGATGTTTAAAGTATTGATGTTAGCTTTGATATCGACGCTGTTCCTTTTAAATCTGTCTGCATTTCATCCCAGTTGTAAGCTTTGCATTTGGGTATCTGAGGCACCCATTTAATTTATTATGTCCAGGAAAATCCCGAAAATGTGAAATGTCGGGCAAAAATAATCCTATCTGAATTGATATCCCTGCTGAGAGGTGCTGAGTCTCTGGACTTAGTTTAGTAAGATCAAACTCATAGGGATGAAGGACTGAGCTACCAAGCTGTAAAAGGTGTGACATTGGGCCAATAATGTAGTTGCTTTGTGAAGTGAAGTCGGTTTTCTTACGTTTTACTTTTTCTTAGTTCAAAGTCAAGACAACTATCAAAGAGAAAGAGTCTAGCAAGAAAAATAACTTTCAGTTTCTTTTTCACATGGGAGCATAGATTAGAATTGTGTAGACTGAGTCTTGTTGGGCCTCCCCTCTGAGCCTGGTTCCATTGTGGAGACTGAGTCTTCTTGGGCCTCCCTTGAGCCCTGGTTCCCATTTGATTTGGCCTCCCCTCTGAGCCGGTTCCATTGTGGAGACTGAGTCTTCTTGGGCCTCCCCTCTGAGCCTGGTTCCATTGTGGAGACTGAGTCTTCTTGGGCCTCCCATTTGAGCCTGGTTCCATTGTGGAGACTGAGTCTTGTTGGGCCTCCCCTCTGAGCCTGGTTCCATTGTGGAGACTGAGTCTTCTTGGGCCTCCCATTTGAGCCTGGTTCCATTGTGGAGACAGAGTCTTCTTGGGCCTCCCATTTGAGCCTGGTTCTATTATGGAGACAGAGTCTTCTTGGGCCTCCCATTTGAGCCTGGTTCCATTGTGGAGACAGAGTCTTCTTGGGCGTCCCCTCTGAGTCTGGTTCCTCTCTAGTTTGTCCTGGCCACTGTGCTTTTGTATCTGCTTGCTCTTTAAGGTTTAGGCTGGGTTACTGTAAAATCACTTTCTGGCAACTGCTGATGTAAAAAGGGCTATATAAATAAATGTGATTGATTTATTGAATGAATGATTGCTTGATTGATTTATTTATTGAATGATTGATTGATTGATTATCCTCTGTCCCCCTGCAGCCCCTGACGTCTCTGTCCCTGGCTGACTCTAAGCTGAAGACAGACCTGACCATTGTGCTGAATGCTCTGGGCAGCAACACCAGTCTGACCAGGGTGGATATCAGTGGGAACGCCATGGGAGACATGGGGGCCAAGATGCTGGCCAAGGCCCTGCAGATCAACAGCAAACTAAGGTGAGGAGAGGACTCCTCAGACACACTGATGATGGTTTGGTGAGGAGAGGACTACCTCAGACACACTGATGATGGTTTGGTGAGGAGAGGACTCCCTCAGACACACTGATGATGGTTTGGTGAGGAGAGGACTACCTCAGACACACTGATGATGGTTTGGTGAGGAGAGGACTCCCTCAGACACACTGATGATGGTTTGGTGAGGAGAGGACTACCTCAGACACACTGATGATGGTTTGGTGAGGAGAGGACTCCCTCAGACACACTGATGATGAAATATTTGTCCTCTCTTGCTCGTCCTGAATTAATACATTATTATGATAATTTTTTTAGATGTGCTCTGAAGACTCCCTCACAGTTTGATTTGTCTCTCTGTTAGAGTGTGTTATTGTATATAGAAGACAGTGGGATTGTTTGAAATGTGATTGATAGATGCTTCTGATCTTTTTTACCAGGACGGTGATCTGGGATAAGAACAACGTCAGTCCTCAAGGTCTTCAGGATGTAGCAGCTGCTCTGGAGAAGTGAGGAGCAATGGGATTCTGTGTGTTTGTTTGTGTTTGTGTGTGTGTGAGTGTGTGTGTGTGTGTGTGTGTGTGTGTGTCGCCTACTGTGGTGAATTATTATAACCAAAAACACTTCCAGAATACAAATGATGATACAGTAGGCTGCTGTGGTGAAGAAAGAAAACAGTGTGGTTATTGTGTACCTCTCTGCTCCCCTTGGGTCTGGTCTGGTCTGCTGTTCATCCCTGGCAGGGGTGAGAAAGAGGGTTGAATGGGGTTAGAGAGGAGAGGAGGTTAGCGGAGAAAGAGAGGTAGGGGAGAGGAGAGGGGTGATGAAGAGATAGAGTGGAGGGTGCAGGAGGAGAGAAAGAGGAGAGACCGAGAGAAGAGAGAGGGTGGGGGAGAGAGAGACCATATTAGAGACACATATTTCCCTCAGATTACAGCGATCCACAAAGAATTCGAAAACAAACCCAATTTTGATAAACTCCCTTATCCACTGGGTGAAAAACCACAGTGTGCCATCACAGCTGCAATATTTGTGACCTGTTGCCACAAGAAAAGGGCAACCAGTGAAGAACAAACACCATTGTAAATACAACCCAAATTTATGTTTATTTATTTTCCCATTTGTACTTGTTTCCTATTTGCACATTGTTATAACACTGTATATATACATAATATGTAGGGGTGTAACGATTCGTTTTAACAATGATTCGATTTGTATCACGATTCGTGGTTGTCGATACGATTCAAGGACGATATTGGTTCATTTAGAACGATACGATCCGAAACGATTCAGTGACTTGAAATCGATTCAGTAACCTTTTAGCCAAAAATTCAACCAGTGTGACTGAAATAAATACCTGGATACTGGACAGTGCAGGTGAAGTTTCCTAGATTCCTGTTTCTTGTAAGGACCGCAATGGTGGCTTGATAATTTTTCTCGCTCGTCGGCTTCTCCTCTGTCGTCCGCCATGCTATGTTTTGTTGTCTTTGCGCCTTGCGCTGCTGCTGGCGCGGGGCGATGACGTCACGGATAGGCAGACTGATGAGTAGAATGTTTAAAGGCCTTTATCATGAAAGTGCTAAGAAAAAACATCCATATAAAGTCTGGACGTGCTTAAATCCAATGGGTTATTTCCTAAGTATCGATACAATCGATTGTATTACATTTTAAAACAATGGTAGATTGATATATGTTGTCCAAAAGGCCAACTCGCCGAGCACAGATCGATGTAGTTGGATCATAGGAATATAAATCGATACATCGATGATAGTAGATGGATCGTTACACCCCTAATAATAGACATTGAAATGCCTTTATTATTTAACTTCTGAGGTAATGTTTAATGTTAATATTATTGTTGAGGAGAGAGAAGAGAGAAGGAGGGGGAGGAAGAGAGAGGAGATAAGAGAGAGGAGGGGAGAGAGAGACGAGAGAGGAGTGGGGGAGGAAAGATAGAAGAGAAGAGGGTGGGGAGAGAGAGAAGAGGAAGAAGAGAGAGGGAGGGGGAGGGAGGAGATGAGAGAAGAGAGAGAGGGTAGGGAGAGGAGAGAGAAGGAGAGAGGGAGGGGGAGAAAGAGGAGCGGAGAGAGAAGAGAGAGCTTGGTGGGGGAAGGAGGACGAGAGAGAGAGAGAGAGGAGAGAGAGAGATGAGAGGGTGGGGAGAGGAGAGAGGAAGAGAGAGGGAGGGGGAGAGAGAGAGAAGAGAGGAGGGGGCGGGGAGGAGAGGAGAGAAGAGAAGAGAGAGGGTGGGGGAGAGAGAGAGAAGAGAGGGTGGGAGGAGAGAGAGAATGAGGAGAGGAGGGGGAGAGGTGAGAAGAGAGGAGAAGAGGAGGGGGGGGGGGAGCGGAAAGGGAAAAGAAAGAGAGAGGGGGGGGGAGAAGAGAGAGAAAAAAGAGAGAGGGGGGGGGGAGGAAAAAGAGAAGAGAGAGGGGGGGGGGAGGAGAGAAGAGAGAAGGGTGGGGGGAAAGGGGAGAGAAAGAGAGAGGGGGGGGAGAGGAGAAGAAGAAAGGGGGAAAAGGGGGGGGGCTGGGGGGAGAGAGAGAGAGGAGAGGGGGGGAAGGGGGGGAAAAAGGGGGGGGTGGGGGGGAAGAGAAGAGAGAGAGGAGAGGAGAGAGAGAGAAGAGGAGAGGTGGGGGGTGTAGAGAGAGAGAGAGGAGAGGGAGAAGAGAGCGAGGGTGGGGACGAGAGGAGGAGCGAGTAGAGAAGCGAGAGGTGGGGGGAGGAAGAGAGAGAGAGAGAGAGAGAGCGAGAGGGGGGAGAGGAGAGAGAGAAGAGAAGAGAGAGCTGGGGGAGAGGAGAGAGAGAAAGAGAGAGAGGGGGGGGAGAGGAGAGAGAGAGAGAAGAGAGAGGATGGGGAGGGAGGAGAGAGGGTGGGGAGAGAGGAGAGAGAAGAGAAGAGGATGGGGGGGAGAGGAGAGCAGAGAGAGAGAGAAGGAGGAGGGGGTGGGGGAGAGGGGGAGAGGAGAGAGAGGGTGGGGAGAGGAGAGAGAGAGGCTGGGGGAGAGGAGAGAGAGAGAGAAGAGAGAGGGTGGGGGAGAGGAGAGAGAGGGTGGGGAGAGGAGAGAGAGAGAAGAGAGAGAGGCTGGGGGAGAGGAGAGAGAGAAGAGAGAGGGGGGGTGGGTGAGAGAAGAGAGGGGGTGGGGAGAGGAGAGAGAGAGGGTGGGGAGAGGAGAGAGAGAAAGAGTGCAGGAGGAGGAGAGAGTGGAGGATGCAGTAGGAGAAAGGGTTGGGGAATCGGGAGGAGAGAGAGAGGGGGGGAGGAGAAGAATGGCAGACAAGCACCAGATAGGGTACCATGTGATTGGCTGTCTATGAATTTAGAGAGGATCTGAATGATATTAGGATCCACTCAGTGATGTGAAAAACAGCCCTCCTGTTTTGTGTCTGGGCATCTCCTTTGTTTCATCCTCATTTAAATAGCATCTACATTCTGTAATTGCTGCATAACAATAAGCGTTGGCTGGCTGGATGCTTACCTACCGCACTGTGATGAATCTGATGCTTACCTACCGCACTGTGATGAATCTGATGCTTACCTACCGCACTGTGATGAATCTGATGCTTACCTACCGCACTGTGATGAATCTGAGGAGGCTGGTGATTTGTAATCTGCTTTGTGATGAGGATGGAGGGGAACCCTGTGGTACGCATGGTGGAGAGGAGGGGGGAGGGGAGGGAGTGAGAAACAGAGAGAGAGAGAGAGAGAGAGAGAGAGAGGGGGAAGGGGAGAGAGAGAGAGGGAGAGATGGAAAGAGAGAGAGGAGAGAGATAATGAGAGAAAGAGATAATGAGAGAGAGAGAGAGAGGAAGAGAGAGAGGGATATAGAGGGAGAGAGATGGAGAGAGAGGAAGAGAGAGAAGGAGAGATAGATGGATAGAGAGAGAAGAGTAAAGGGAGAAGATAAACTCTTCAGTATATCTGGTTCAGTAGATCCTCTCGTCTCCTCTCCTCCCTCCATCTCACTCATCCAGCCTCAATACAGAACTCCATTATGCTATGCTATTCATATGAGGAGCTGTGAAGTACGTTCTGAGCTGAATCCAGAAAATAGCTCAGTTTGTCCTCCATCTATTGATAAGAGATAAGTGGCTATCTTTATGTAAACACCCTGGGTTTACTAGATAATTGTCCATCTTTATGTAAACACCATGGGTTTACTAGATAAGTGGCCATCTTTATGTAAACACCCTGGGTTTACTAGATAATTGGCCATCTTTATGTAAACACCCTGGGTTTACTAGATAAGTGGCCATCTTTATGTAAACACCCTGGGTTTACTAGATAAGTGACCATCTTTATGTAAACACCCTGGGTTTACTAGATAAGTGACCATCTTTATATAAACACCCTGGGTTTACTAGATAAGTGGCCATCTTTATGTAAACACCCTGGGTTTACTAGATAATTGGCCATCTTTATGTAAACACCCTGGGTTTACTAGATAAGTGGCCATCTTTATGTAAACACCCTGGGTTTACTAGATAAGTGACCATCTTTATGTAAACACCCTGGGTTTACTAGATAAGTGTCCATCTTTATGTAAACACCCTGGGTTTACTAGATAAGTGACCATCTTTATGTAAACACCCTGGGTTTACTAGATAAGTGACCATCTTTATGTAAACACCCTGGGTTTACTAGATAAGTGGCCATCTTTATGTAAACACCCTGGGTTTACTAGATAATTGGCCATCTTTATGTAAACACCCTGGGTTTACTAGATAAGTGACCATCTTTATGTAAACACCCTGGGTTTACTAGATAAGTGACCATCTTTATGTAAACACCCTGGGTTTACTAGATAAGTGGCCATCTTTATGTAAACACCCTGGGTTTACTAGATAAGTTACCATCTTTATGTAAACACCCTGGGTTTATTACTGCTGTATATGCTTTATGTTCACCCCAGCCTTATATTCCCATCGGCCCAACCTGTGCCTCTGTCTGAATAGACCAGGTTCAGTCTGCTACCTGTTCTGGCTGGGATTTCACTGAGGAATAGTGAAACGACATGGCCGTCTGACTGAACATGTGGGCCTATTCCTTAGCAATCCCTCAGAGACGTATAGCTGCATCTCACAAAATAGAAAGAGATTCTCAAAGTGACTGTTGGTTTTTACAGCTCTTTTTTCTTTAACCAAACAGTGATATCAATCCAAAGATGTCTCTGGAGCTTTGGCTTGTTGTGAGACTGTTGATCAGAGACCCTATAGTGAGTTGATGTATATTCTAATTGTCCCATATGAGCCGTGTTTGAAGGGGGTTGTAGTTATGTAGAGGACTGTGTTAGATCAGGTCCTGTAGGAGCTAGTGGTCCCTGAGGCTGTGTAAGGTTCAGTCTTTAACTATTCCCTTTAGTGACACACTGAGGCCTTTCTGACTACAGATTAAGAATGAATCTACCGTTGGGGCACTTCACCTGAGCGACAGATACTCAGTCAGTTCAGTCCCAGTCTCTCTCTCTCTTTCCCTCCATCTCTCGCCCTCTCTCTCTATCTCTCTTTCTCTCTCTCTCTGGTCCCCCCACGCCTATGATTATTAATATACTATTCTGGGCAGACTTTCCATTTGCAGAGGATCAGTAACCTCACTTATGAGGTCAAGTCACAATCAAGATGAAATGGCTTGTTTCAGACCTGCTCTTCTCTCTGTCAGCTGCCAGGGCTGAGCTCTCACACACACACACACACACACACACACACACACACACACACACACAAACACACACACACAGTCTTGAACAACTAGCCTTGAGAGATGTGGGGACACAAAATTCAGTCCCATTCAAAGTCCTATTTTCCCCCCTAACCACTAACGCTAACCCCTAACGCTAACCCTAACGCTAACCCCTAACGCTAACCCTAACCTTAACCCCTAACGCTAACGCTAACCTTAACCCCTAACGCTAACGCTAACCCTAACGCTAACCCCTAACGCTAACCTTTAACGCTAACCTAACCCTAACCTTAACCCCTAACGCTAATGTGATGGGTGATTTGAAGGAGTCAGGCACAGGAGGGTAAATCACAGTATACAGAGTTTATTCCGTAATCCAGCGTAACCAGTCCAGTGCGCAAAACAGGCACACTGGAACAAACATGCACACGGGGAAAATACCCCGGCAATACAAAATACTGAGTTCAACTGAGCTACTAATTCTCACAATGAACAATCACCCACAAGGACAAGGGGGCAGAGGGAACACTTAAACACGTACTAATGAGGGGAATATGAACCAGGTGTGTGTAATTGACAAGACAAGACAAATGGAATGATGAGATGAGGAGCGGCAGTGGCTGGAAGGCCGGTGACGACGAACGCCGAAGCCTGCCCGAACAAGGAGGGGAGGCAGCTTCGGAGGAAGTCGTGACAGCTAACTCTAACGCTAACCTTAACCTTAACCCCAAAACCTAAACCTAACCCTAAACCTAACCCTAGCTCATAACCTAACCCTAACCCTAACCCTAAACATAATTCTAACCCTAACACTAATTCTAACCTTAACCCTAAACCCTCTAGAAATAGCATTTGACCTTGTGGAGATTAACAAAATGTGGTCCCCACAAATATAGTTAAACACGTCCATACAGACACACACACACACACACACACACACACACACATCCAGCGGGTGGGCCTCTCTTGATGTGCTCTAGTCTGTCGTTGTAGCCGCGGAGGCAAATGTTTCTATTCTGGAGGGTTCATTAGAAAAGCATTGCTCTGTGACATTAATTAAGTACATTTGGGGTCCATTTTCCTATTCAAGTGTTGAATGTCAGTTAAATGTATAGTGCTAGAAGATAGAATCACATTAATAATGTAACATAATAATTAACTTTATTAATTAAATAATTAAATAAACAAATTAATAATCACACATAATAATTTTAGAACCTATACTGCCACATTATAATATTCAGGAATATTAGAGTAACTCATTACATTTACATTTAACATTTAAGTCATTTAGCATGACTGGCTTTTAAACCAATTCAGATTTCTATAACTAATTGGGTCATAATATCTGTTTTAAATATGAATACAGCAATCAAATATTAATGACAATATATGGTTAAATATGGCTGTAATGAATAAATACATTATACTATCTGTTTAAATTATGCTACATTTATGAGACCGTCCATCTCCTTGACAGAAACTTCACCATCCGGTTCATGCCGATCCCCATCATCGATGCGTCTCAGGCTCTCAAAGCCGGCCCTGAGAAGACTGAGGACGCCCTGCTCAAGGTGAGTCAAGCTCTTAAAGCCCTGAGAAGACGGAGGACGCCCTGCTCAAGGTGAGTCTGGCTCTTAAAGCCCTGAGAAGACGGAGGACGCCCTGCTCAAGGTGAGTCCGGCTCTTAAAGCCCTGAGAAGACTGAGGACGCCCTGCTCAAGGTGAGTCTGGCTCTTAAAGCCCTGAGAAGACTGAGGACGCCCTGCTCAAGGTGAGTCAAGCTCTTAAAGCCCTGAGAAGACGGAGGACGCCCTGCTCAAGGTGAGTCAAGCTCTTAAAGCCCTGAGAAGACGGAGGACACCCTGCTCAAGGTGAGTCCGGCTCTTAAAGCCAGCCCTGAGAAGACTGAGGACGCCCTGCTCAAGGTGATCAGGTTCTATAAGACACTGAGTACCTTGTTGAACCATGGTTGAACTATCAATCAATATCATTATTTTTCCAATTGGGATTTGTTGTGTTATCTGGGTACAAAAACAATGATAACATATATTCACCTAACACACCCATATGATAACAAAAGCTATGAGCTATAACCGTTGTGCTACTGCCTGACAAAGTAATGCTCTCTCCTCTCTTCAGATTGAGAACTACCTGTTCCGGAACCATGAGACTCGTAAATACCTCCAGGAGCAGGCCTACCGCCTCCAACAGGGGATCGTTACCACCACCACTCAACAGGTGACACACACACACACACACACACATAACACACATAACACACACACACATAACAGTATTTAAAAATAGATTACAATCTAAATACAGCTGCAGAGGTCAAACCGGGGTCAGCAACACTGGGGTCAGCAATACGGGGGTCAGCAATACAGGGGTCAGCAACACAGGGGTCAGCAACACAGGGGTCAGCAACACGGGTCCTAGCGTGACTTGATTTAGTTGACTTATTGAGCGTAGCATTGTGTGTATTCACCCCACCAACAGCCTGTAATCTCCCTCCAGTGAAACTTTCTCCCCTGACCCACTCTGCTTCTGGTATGCAAGCTGTTTTAATTAGTTTCCCGCATCCAGTGCAGGCGGGAGGGATTGTTAATTGCGCTACCGAACTGCCCCTAATCAAAACGAAACAAAACGGCCTAAACCCAGCCGTCAGAAAACACAGAAAATTTAACTTTTTTCAATGTGTCAATCACTCTCGAGTCATCTGGGACCCACGAGCTAAGCCCAAGGGACTACTAGGGGGGCACTTGAACATTCGTAGTGTCATTCCAAAAAGTGATCAAATTCAACATCTACTCACAGACTCCAACCTTGACTTTCTCTGCCTCTCAGAGACATGGCTCCATAGAAACTCTCCATCTGCTGCTTTGATTGTGCCTGGCTACAATGTTTTCAGGAGAGACAGGACTGAAGGAAGAGGAGGGGGGTGTGATGATTTATATTAAAGAACATATCCGATGTAAACAAATTGAGTGGTCAGGTGATAATGAACTAGAATGTATTGGCCTGAACATTACACTGTCTCCCCAAATGTCTTTTACCCTCATTGGAATGTATAGGCCACCTTCCACCAAAAGTGTGTTTTTTGATCAGTTTAATAACATGCTTAGGGAATGTGATTTTGGGAAAGAGGTCATCTTAATGGGAGATTTTAACATTAATTATGAAGACAAGTGTTGTAGGAAAACCCTCAAACGGATCACTAATACCTTTGACCTTACACAGCTAGTTAAAGGGCCAACCAGGGTGACTTGTTGCTCTAAAACACAGATTGATTTGGTGATCAGTAATAAACCAGAGAGAGTGACTAAATCATTCAATATGGTTACTGGGCTATCTGATCATAATCTGACACTTATAGCCAGAAAGCTGTCTAAGAGCAGGTTTAACCTCTCTACTGTTAGAAAGCCTGATCAACTAAGAATACCTAAGAGTGAATTAAGCTATTTTGAAAATGCAATTAAGGGAATTAACTGGAATGATCTCTTGTCCTATGCAGACGTGGAAGCTGATAGTCAAGTTTTTCTATCCACAATCCAGACTACATTAAATGGTTTCCTAAAGAAAATCAAATCCAAACCTGGCCAAAAGAACACTCTTCCTTGGCTAAATGGAGAAATCTGGAAATTGATGAAAGAACGAGATTATTATCTAAAAATAGCCCTAAGATCCAAATTAGAGCATGACAGACGTAGGTTTACCATGTTGAGAAATAAGGTGATGAAAGAAATCAGACAGGCCAAGGCAAACTTTTTTATTAACATAATTGGTGAAGCAAAGGGAAATTCTAAACTGATCTGGGAGAATCTAAAAAAGTTAACAGGGAAAGACCATAGTAACACTGCAAAAAGACTAGAAATCATGGTGAATAACAATCTAACACAGGATGCAGTCGAAATAGCAATAGCCTTCAATTCCTACTTTATTGACTCTGTCAGGGTACTGACACAGAACCCCTCCACTGGTTTCTTGGGCTCAGTGCTAGTAAATGATGCTCAACCTGTCTTTATCATAAGGGAGGTTTCTGAGTCAAAGGTAGACAAGGTGATTAGCTCACTAAAGAACTCTAAAGCCAAAGATGTGTTTGGGATGGACTCTACCTTTCTTAAAAACTACAAAGAGTCACTCATTGGCCCCATTACCAAGGTCACCAACACATCTATTGGTCTCGGGGTGTTTCCAAGGGTATGGAAGTCGGCCATAATAACGGCCATCTTTAAATCAGGCGACCCTGCTGACGTGAGTAACTACAGGCCCATTAGTATACTACCTGTGGTGTCAAAGGTTGTTGAAAAGTGTGTAGCAGAACAACTGATTGCCCACCTCAACAACAGCCCCTTCACATTACATTGCATGCAGTTTGGCTTCAGAGCGAAACACTCCACAGAAATGGCCAACTGTTTTTTTCTGGAAAATGTGAAGTCCAAGATGGACAAAGGGGGCGTTGTTGGGGCTGTGTTTCTGGACCTAAGGAAGGCTTTTGATACTGTTAACCATGAGATTCTCATCACAAAATTGTCCAAGTTCAACTTTTCCCCCGATGCCTTGAGATGGATGAAATCATACCTTGAAGGCAGAACTCAGTGTGTCAGAGTGAGCAATGAGCTGTCGCCCACTCTTAGCTATGATGTGGGTGTGCCCCAAGGGTCAATACTGGGGCCCCTCCTGTTCAGCCTGTACATTAATGATCTGCCTTCTGTCTGTACTGGGTCTGAAGTTCAAATGTATGCAGATGATACAGTGATATATGTGCATGCAAAGAGCAAACAACAAGCTGCACAAGAACTCACTACTGTAATGGTCCAGGTTACAAAGTGGCTCAGTGACTCGTGTTTGCATCTCAATGTGAAAAAAAACTGTTTGCATGTTCTTCACAAAGAGGGCAACAGATGCTACTGAGCCAGAAGTCTATGTGTCAGGGGAGAAGCTCCAGGGGGTATCTGATTTTAAGTACCTTGGCATCATACTTGATTCCAACCTCTCTTTTAAAAAGCATGTGAAAAAGGTAATTCAAATAACCAAATTCAACCTAGCTAATTTCCGATTTATACGAAATTGTTTGACTACAGAGGTAGCAAAACTGTACTTCAAATCTATGATACTCCCCCACTTAACATACTGTTTGGCTAGTTGGGCCCAAGCTTGCTGTACAACAGTAAGACCTATTCAGTCTGTCTACAAACAGGCTCTCAAAGTGCTTGATAGGAAGCCCAATAGCCATCATCACTGTCACATCCTTAGAAAGCATGAGCTCCTGAGTTGGGAAAATGTTGTGCAATACACCGATGCATGTCTTGTATTCAAGATCCTAAATGGCTTGGCTCCCCCTCCACTCAGTATTTTTGTTAAACAGAAAACCCAAACATATGGCAGCAGATCCACAAGGTCTGCCATGAGAGGTGACTGTGTAGTTCCCCTAAGGAAAAGCACCTTTAGTAAATCCGCTTTTTCTGTGAGAGCTTCCCATGTCTGGAATACACTGCCATCAGACACACATAACTGCACCACATATCACACTTTCACAAAATGCTTGAAGACATGGCTAAAGGTCAATCAGATTTGTGAACATGGTCCCTAGCTGTGTGTTGCCGCTTTCCATGTCTGTTGTCTGTAACTTGTGAGGTGTGGAAACACTTTGTTGCTTTTATGAATTTTGTCTTGCTGCTTTTTGTTCTATGTTGCTCTGTCTGTATGCTACGTCTTGCTTGTCCTATGTTGCTATGTCTGTATGCTATGTCTTGTTCTATGTTGTTATTGTCTATATTGTAATTGTTTTTAATAACCTGCCCAGGGACTGCGGTTGAAAATTAGCCGGCTGGCTAAAACCGGCACTTTTACTGAAACGTTGATTAATGTGCACTGTCCCTGTAAAAATAAACTCAAACTCAAACTCAAACTGATTAACACTGAGGTCACTTAGGGGAGCAGGGGACAGGCTAACTGTTTTGATCCTTTTTGGTTTTGCTCACCTCCAAGGTAGCAAAAGCTGTTAGTGCAGAACGTCTGCATTCAGATCAGCCTCTTATTACTACACAGCTTGTTAATGAAGAATTACTTTAGGGCAAAGGGTTTTGGAAGTTGAACATAACCTTATTGGATGATGTAAGATGAATTGATGACACCAATAAAACACCACCTCTGATTGGCTGATATATATATTAACATAATAAAACATGACTTTATTGTTTACTAACCACTCCTATAAACCCCACCTTTGACTCACATGATGAGGGTAAAGTGCATGTCAGAGAGTAAAGTACAGATCAGCACTGTAACATTCAGCTCTCTGGTGTTAAGCTCCACAACATTTGGATTTACCTTGTAAGAGAAAGAGATATTAGAAGACATACCATCATCGGAAATGTAATCTTGAAGTGCAGCTTCACTTTAGGTTGGAAATTATACATTTGAGCGGATTAGTTTCTCTTGAAAGTGGAAATTGTGGAGAGTAAGTGAAAGTTATCTTCAGAAGCTGTTACAGAACAGGGAGTGGCACTGTGTAAGAAAATGGCATCCAAATCGTCTCTCCCAGAGGAGAATTTCAACTGTCCTGTCTGCTTTAGCGTCTTCAAGAATCCTGTCCTCCTGTCGTGTAGCCACAGCTTCTGTAAAACCTGTCTGGAATTATGCTGGCAACAGAAGGAACCACGGGAATGTCCAGTTTGCAGGAGAAGATCCTCAATGAATCCGCCATTGAACCTGGCTCTAAAGAACCTGTGTGAGGCCTTCTTACAGGAGAGGAGTCAGAGAGCTTCAGTTGGGTCTGAGGTACAGGAGGGGAGTCAGAGAGCTTCAGCTGGGTCTGAGGCACAGGAGAGGAGTCAGAGAGCTTCAGTTGGGTCTGAGGTACAGGAGGGGAGTCAGAAAGCTTCAGCTGGGTCTGAGGTGCTCTGCAGTCTGCACAGTGAGAAACTGAAACTCTTCTGTCAGAGGGATAAACAGCCCATCTGCATGGTGTGTCAGACCTCAAAGAAACATAAATCTCATGTCTGTGTCCCTGTAGATGAGGCTGTACAGGATTATAAGGAGGAACTTCAAACTGCCCTGAAGCCCTTACAGGAGAAGCTGGAGGTCTTCAATAAAGTTAAACTAACCTGTGATCAAACAGCAGAGCACATTACTAGCCAGGCCTTGCACACAGAAAAGCAGATTAGGAAAAAGTTTGAGAAGCTTCGCCAGTTTCTACAAGAGGAAGAGGAGGCCAGGATAGCTGCACTGAGGGAGGAAGAGCAGCAGAAGAGTCAGATGATGAAGAAGAAGATTGAAGAGATGAGCAGAGATAAATCGTCACTTTCAGACACAATCAGAGCCATAGAGGAGGAGTTGAAAGCTGAAGACATCTCATTCCTGCAGAACTTCAAGACCACAAAGGAAAGAGCCAAGTGCACACTGCAGGATCCACAGCTGGTCTCAGGAGCTCTGATAGACGTGGCCAAACACCTGGGCAACCTGCAGTTCAGAGTCTGGGAGAAGATGCAGGGGATCCTCAAATACACTCCTGTGATTCTGGACCCCAACACTGCACCTCCAGAGCTCTCTCTGACTGATGATCTGACCAGTGTGAGATACACAGGCACAAAACAGCAGCTCCCTGACAACCCAGAGCGATTAATGAAGTATATAGATGTTCTGGGCTCTGAGGGGTTTAGCTCAGGGAAACACAGCTGGGAGGTGGAGGTGGGGGACTACCGTCGGTGGAATCTGGGCGTGGCTAAAGAGTCCCTTGACAGGAAGGGGGAACGGGATGCATCACCACAGCATGGAATCTGGTGTATAGAGCAGCAGAGTGGTAAATATAAAGTAGGAGGAGGTGGCATCATCACTCTGAAGAGGAGACCCCAGAGGATCAGAGTGCAGCTGGACTACAACAAGGGGAAGGTGTCCTTCTACGACC